TCTTGAATCAGTTGCCTTGCAGATTCTCCCTTCGATCTACCCACTTGGCTGGCGATATTTCAGCAACACCTTAAAGCGAGATGAAGATTGCGTAACCCCAAAGTGTGGTGTGAAATCTGGAGCTTGGGATTTATCTGGCCACAATAACTGGAAGTTCCTGAGAATGCTGGTGAAGAATAGGAAGAGCTCCATCCGAGCCAGGTTTTCCCCTAAGCAGACTCTCGGCCCTGAAAAGACAAAGTGAAGGAGAGAGAAGCCATTCAGACTGCTGAAGGCTGGCAACCAACTGCAAATGCTAGACTGTTATTTATTTATTTTATTTTATTTTATTTGTCAATTGTTTACAAGATAATAAGTATAAGTGTATACATAGTTATGAATACATGAAATGGGTACATATAAGAAAAATAAAAGAAAAATAAAAGAAACAATAGGACAGGGACGGTAGGCACGTTGGTGCGCTACAGACCTCTTAGGAAAGGGGTGAGGTCAATAGTAGACAGTGTTTGTTTCTCAGTGCTATGATCCCAAATCAGTGCTATGATTTCCAAAGTTGGTAACGTCTTTTGCATTCTTTCCTTCTCTAAAAGATTTATTTTCTCGGCCTCTATGCAGCACACCTCATGTTGTTTAGACTTTAAAAAGATGTTGAGACTCTGAGTGCCGAAAAGAGCAACAGAAATAAGTTCATACCTGGAGGCTAAAACATATGAAGAATGGTTGCAGGAATTGAGTCTGTCTAGTCTAGTGAAATGGTGGACATGATAGCAGTGCTCCAAAATTTGAGGGGTGCCACAAAAAAGAGGGGGTCAAACTATTCCCCAAAGCACCTGAAGGCAGGGCAAGAACCAATGGATGGAAACTAATCAAGGAGAAAAGCAACCTGGAACTAAGGAGAAATTTACTAACAGCAAGGACAATTAACCAGTGGAATGGCTTGCCTCCATTAGTTGTAGCTGCTCCATCACTCAGGGGTTTTAAGAAGAAACTGGACAGCCACTTGTCTGCCATGGTATAGGGCAGGGGTCTGCAACCTTAAACACTCAAACAGCCATTTGGACCCGTTTCCCACAGAAAAGAAAAGACTGGGAGCCACAAAACTCTTTGGACTATCTAAAATGAAGGTAACATTGCATATATCCTTTTTTACCTTTATGCTGCGTATAAAAAAGAAAACTATACTGTGTTGCATTTATGAAATCAATGAACTGCTGCAGAGAAAACCATTTTTTATTTCTGCATGCAAGAAAAACATTTTGAACTCCGGAAAAAATATCTCTGTGTGTGTCTGTCTGTCTGTCTGTCTCTCTCTGTCTCTCTCTGTCTCTCTCTCTCTCTCTCTCTCTCCATCTTGGTCCTCCACAAAATGATCCTAAACGTCACTAAATCCTAAATGTCACTATGTCGGTGAGTTTTTTGGGCTTGCTTTATTCTTTAAAGCACTCAACTTCTCAAATCAATCTTCACTTCTTTCCTCTCTCACTTCAGTTCCTGTTTTCATCTCTAATTCTGACCTTAGAGATCAAGTACTTACCTATCTCATTCTGAGAGAGCTGGGGGGGGGTCGGGGGGGGGGGGGGGGATGGAATAATTCACCTGCTGAAAATGCCAAAAAGGCTTCCGGCTTCACAAACTCTCCCTCTTCATTCAGGAAGTTGGAGGGGTTGAACTCATTGGGGAACTTCCACTGGGATTCATCATGATGGGCAGACTGGATATTGACCAAAACCATAGTGCCCTGCACAAGCCAAGACAAGCACACCACAACTATAAGCTGGTGGCGCTCCCATAAAATGAGATTCAAAAGGGAGGCTCCCATTGATCTCAATCTCTTGCTTTCTCTTGCTCTTACATACAAACACAAATGCCTCAGTTGAGGGAGACCCAGGCGTCTTCATCAAAACTTCACTTCTTGTAAAGCAAGGGTCTTCAAACATGGCAAGCTGAAGACTTGTGGACTTCAACTCCCAGAATTCCTGAGCTAACATGACTGGAGGAGGAAATCTGGGAGTTGAAGTCCACCAGTCTTAAAGCTGACAAGTTTGAAGATCCCTGATGTAAAGCAATGAAAGGTTTCTGCTTTTACCTTGGGAATTTTATATCCAAA